CTTGTTCAGAGAATATTTTTCTGCCTTGTATTGCTCTGGTTGATTGTTTGCTATGTTCATGCTGTATATCCGCCACTGCTAGAATCTCCTTGCGATATTGACAATATACTGGGTGAAACAAGGAGACGCCAGGCTCTTTAAATTGACCGGAAAATTCGGTTTCTTAACCTATCGCGCTACGACATTGTGCAGCGTTGCCCACAGATGGTGCATTTTTTTGTTGTAAAATTTGCAAAGAGCGAACTTACCCGAGGAAAAAGTAAAGAAAGAAAAAGGCTTAGCTCTTATGAAAACGCAGCTACGCCACCGGTCTGCAAACAACACGCCGCCATTTCGCACGGGAGACAAGAGATGGCGCAAGCGGTCGCGACGCCAACTGCCGCCAACGAACGAGTAGACGACGCCGAGAGCCGGCCCTTTGGCAGACAAGGAACTACAGTTCCTTTACAGTGGCTTAAAGGGGGTAGTGTGGTTATCGCGTAGCCTCCACCATGCATCGGAAACGGCCGCTCCTTGGAAGACGGTGTAGGTGGCGCTTCGATCCGCAGCTCCGTTGGGTGCCTCAATCGGCCGGCAGATAGAGGCACCCTAACACGCTTCATAACTAATATAAATACCTCAGAAACAATTATTTGTTTCCAGCGACCTTCCAAGGGACATGATTTATGTTTGAAGGAGAATAAAACTGTGAAACTAGCAGACGACAGTGTAGTCGACAGGTGCGAATCGGCCGGAGCTGGCCGGAGCCAAGCTGACCAAGCGGCCAAGCCGGAGCCATAGCCGGAACGACGGTGCTGCAAGCGCCAGCGCCACCCGCGGCCGTCGCTGTGCCGCTTCTCCGGTTTCGTTCGTTGCACTATCCCCTTTAAGCCACTGTACTTCCTTGCTGTTACCGCGCCTGTCTTTCATTGTTTCTGCGACTGTCGCCGCCTGCGGAACGCGTGCCGCTTTTCAGTCGCAAAGATCGTCTGCTAAAAAGGCCTGCTCTCGGCGCCGTATGCTCGTTCGTTGTCGGCGTTTGTTACGCCATCTCTTGTCTCCCGTGCGAAACGGCGCCGTGTTGTTTGCAGACCGGTGGCGTCGCTGCGCTTCAATAGGAGCTAAGCCTTTTAGAGCGCAGCTCTTAGGGGCCCGTTCCCGGCTTGAGCGGCGTCGGCGTCGGCGTCGGCGTAACCGCAACCCTCGTAACCCTTGTGAGGGTTACCAGGGGTACGAGGGTTAATCTCATGAGGGTTACCCTCACGAGGATCACGAGGGCCACGAGGGTTACTTACCCTCGTAACCCTCACGAGGGTTACGAGGGTTAGTTACCCTCAAAAGGGTTACCTTCACGAGGGTTACCCTCACGAGGGTTATGAGAGTTACCCTCACGAGGGTTACTTACCCTCGTAACCCTCACGATGGTTACAAGGGTTAGTAACCCTCGTGAGGGTAACCTTCACGAGGGTTACCCTCACGAGGGTCACGAGGGTTATGAGAGTTACCCTCACGAGGGTCACGAGAGTTACCCTCACGAGGGTCACGAGAGTTGCCCTCACAAGGGTTACTAGGGTTACCCTCACGAGGGTCACGATGGTTACCCAGGTCACGTGACCCCAGGGGGGGTCACGTGACCTGGGGATACCCCCCGAGGTCACGTGACCCCCCGTTGACGTCATAGCCACTGATGACGTCATCAGTGACGTCACTAATGACGTCACTGGCATCCGCATTGTCATCGTCATCATCACTGATGACGTCATCAGTGACGTCACTGATGACGTCACCGGCATCCGCATCGTCATCATCATCATCACTGATGGCGTCATCAGTGACGCTACTGATGACGTCATCGGTATCGTCACGTGGTCCCAGGTCACGTGACCCCCCCCCGACGTCACGTGACGCCCCAAGGTCACGTGACTCCCACAAGGTCACGTGACCCCCAAGGTCACGTGACCCCCCGCCCCCCAAGGTCACTTGACCCACCCCGCAGTACCCTTCCCTCCTCCTCCTCAAGAGCTGCGCTCTAATTCGGCGTTACAGGGAGTTGTAAACGGCTTTCATTTTTTTCTTTCTTTACTTCTTCCTCAAGTAAATTCGCTCTTCGCAAATTTTACAAAAAAAAAAAAAAATCACCATCTGTGGGCAACGCAACGCTGCTACTCGTAGAAACTGCCGCCTTACCTTGTTTATAGCTTTCGGAAATCCAACAGTTCTTTTGTGAACAAAAGCTTAGCTTTCAAAGAAAGGGACAGGGAATACCTCGAACGGTGCGTTATTATTATTCCTTTTTTTTTTTTGTTTCGTTTGACAACAACCAGACGTATTCCAAGCAGTGGCGACACAGGGGGGGGGGGGGGGGTGGGGGGTTATGTTCTGGGTGCAGCACTCAGGGGGGTGTCGCGGCAGGAATCGAGCGCGTGGAGGAGTGGGGGGGAGGGGTCGCGGTGGGCTACCGCCTCGGGTGCCGTGGACCCTAGTGACGCAACTGGTTCCAAGTTCCAACGAATAAAGAAATGACGGCCCATGCATTGTCCACTTCGGTCCGCAGAACTGCTGCGAGTGCGGAGTTCCTTTGCAAACGGGATTCCTCACTTGCGACGCGTTTTTTTCTCCTCTCTTTGACTTACACATTGCACAAGACAGTTTCGGCAAAAGCTTCGAACTTGGTGGTGACGCACCGCGAAACAACGTACTGGGTGCCGCTAACAACACCGACGAGATAAAAAAAAGCGTCGATTTTTATGCGTGCCCGGTTTTGGCATTAAAGGGCCTCTGACACGCCAAAAACAATTTTTTTTTACATGCTAGGCGTTGAAATGGCATATTAAAACACTACAAAAACATTGTTTCACTATGAAGTTCCGCAGTTTTTTTTATAAAAAAGAGAAATGCGAGGCCCAATTCAAAGTTTCCTCGAGTGCACTGTGACGTAACAGTGTACCGCAAGGCGTCGGGGCGGTCAGAAGGGACGCATCGGCGGAAGTCACGTGAGTTGTATCCTTCCTCATCTTTACCACGAGCGCCTGTAATATTTTTTTATTTTTTATTTTTTGTTATTCTCCGCACCTCCATGAGCGATCCAAGCAGACAAGGTTTCTTTTATTTGTTTTTCATTGCTTAATGTTGCTGTAAAGGTAGAAAAAGAGGAGTCAGTGAATTGACGTGATCAACTACAATGCCTAGAAGGTGCTGTGTGATGGAGTGTCCCGGTTTTCAGCAACTGAAGAAGAGATCACACTGCATGCATTTTCGAGAGACATACAAAAGATGGACCGGTGGCTGACTGCAGTTCCCACAGGACAGCTATTAGAATGCGTGGGTAGGCGATGGATATGCTCAATGCACTTTAGTAATGAAGATTACAATTCTAGGCGAAGTTTACTATAACTGACCAGCCTGCCCCGCACCCAGCGTACGAACCGCCGGTACGCCGCGTACCGGTATTTCCTAAAATTACGACAAATGAAAAATGTCAAGGTAAAACCTGCGCGGTGATTGTCGTTCAACTCCAGCCTTAACTTGTAGACTGTAGGCAACAAAACTAGACCAACTTGTGAATATCCCGGAGCATTGGAAGCTTCCTGTCGTGAAGTTCGAAGTATGCAATCTTGAGCATTGTTATATTCAAGCAAACGAGTAAGGATTCTTCGTGTGATGTTATGCAAGCTATCGGCTGCAAATCTGTAAGTTTCCTGCCCATCTCCCTGCAACAGAGGCACTCAAGAGTCTCGAATTCCAAAATCATGACGCATTGGCTGCATGTGCACCTACTAAACAAGTTCTACTCATGTTCTAGACAAAACACGTACTTAATGCTCGAGACGTTTACTTGTACTTGGTGCACTCACCAGTTCGTATTCTCTAGACCGCAGGCATCTTCAGCTTGGAGAGTATCCGATGATTCAACGACATTGGTGTCTGAATCTTCAGCAATCCGATCGGGCGTGTCGTATGCTAGCAATCCTAATTTCTGCGAGCGTTCTAAAATTTTTCTTTTCAAAAATTGATACCTTGTTTTGTGCCCAGTATAGCTCTGTATTTTTGGACTGACGGCATGCACTCGTACACTGGCTTGTACTTGCAACGCTTTCAGCATTGACCTCCATCACGTCGATCCACTGACTCTTCGTCCTCAAATTTTACAGCACGCAAACTAACCAACGGTGCAGCTCTAAAGAACTGATGGAACTGAAACATTGTTTTCTGCGATCGCTCGTACGAAGAGCATAATAAAAAAATAAAGACGAAGTCTTAGGCACGGTCGCGGAGAGCACGAGGAGTGAAACTCATGTGACTTCCTTCGAACCCACTTTTAGTCACGTAGGTTAATGCCTCCCTTCTGACCGCCCCGACACCTTGCGGTACACTGTTACGTCACAGTGCACTGAAGGGAACTTTGAATTGGGCCTTGCATTTCTATTTTTTATAAAAAAAACCTACGCAACTTTATAGTGAAAGATTTTTTTTGTAATGTCCTGATATGCCAATTCAACGCCTAGCAGAAAAACAAATATTTTTTTTTTTGGCGTATCAGAGGCACTTTAACGAGACAGTTCATTTCGACCATAAAGATTTTCCTAAAGGTTTAAGTATTTTAAAATGAAATGCTTTCCGGAATCGACCAAGGTAATTATGCACAAATTTGACTGAAGCCAAGCGGAGAGGGCAATATCTTTTTCTAGGTCACGTTTACCCGTATCTATTTTGGGCCAACAAGAGAGAGGAACAAAAAACGCGAAGACACCTTCGATGTTACCATAAACTGTTCAACGCGCAGCGACTGTACTAGAAACACTTATGCAACAGCCTGCCCAATGGTGCCAACTTTGCAATTTGTTGCACATGTTCACGCATAGACACGCACACACAACCACACAAAACAATACCACCTGTAGCAATGCTACCATTACTTTAAATGGAAACGGTAAATTAATGACACAATATTTGTTTTTCTATTGATTTCCTTACTGACTGTATATATCGTTTTTTACTCTCCAGAAAGAAATACAGAGGATATGGCTCGCCTCGCTTGCGTATTTCTGGTCTTTGTGCTGGCCTATCAGTGTGGTAAATACCCCATTTTTCTTCCTTTGTTTGCGTGTTCTTGGTAACATGTCAGCGTAGACGAAATTTATCTCGATTTTCACTTCGCACATTGCTTAAGCACAAGAACGCGACTCTTCGTTTTTAGAGAGAAACACACTTCGTGGCCCTGTTTAAAAAAAAAATATATATATAGAAATGTGTTTTTATTTTGCAAAACGTTGCGTGAAAAATAGACAAATTAAACAGGACGGTATTGGCTCCTCGTGTGGTGTGTTAAGTTCAGACGGTAGGGACGCAACAGTTGAATCTCCTGCCCAAAATCTGAACAGAAACGGCAACACAATGAGTACGCCGGAGGTAAGAGAACGCCGTTTGGCTGGGGTTATATAAGGAATTCTTCATAGACGACAAGCAGTGCTATTGCATTTGGACGTAGACTAAACGGCTGTCCAAACGGGACATATCAAATGGCATAAAGCAACACTTCACCGTCATATCAAGTGAAAGTTACTGTCCGGATGTCCGTTTTATTCGCGACTCCAGCAAAACGGACGCCACCAAGCGGTAAACCCGGAACCAGCCGGTCCAGGTCGCTCCGCGCCCCTCCGCGTCTCTGGTGGCTTTCGCGGACACGTGTTGTCGGCGCGGTGGCGAACCGTGTAATTTCACGAAGGCCCGAAAATTTCTCAAGTTTCCCTGAGTGTTCATTAAGCGCGAGACACATGCGCGAAAAATCCATCCGATCCGACGTCCGATCCGGCAGTACGACTGCCTGATCCGAAAAATTTGGTCGCTTCAGACGTCGGATCGGCGATCCGGCGTGCGTCCAACGTGCCAGATAGTTTCGCACGGCGGACGGATTGTCGGATGCGTCCAGCCAATGACAGCGCAGCTAGCGCGAACGTCATGATGACGTACTGGGTCTGGCGGGACGAACAAGAAAACGGGACGGGCGACGGGAAGGCGGACGCGTGGATCCCGCTGACCCATTCGAGAAAGATGGCCCCGGCAAAGAAGGCACGGGCTAACGAGAAAGAGCTTCTAACTTCGGTCTTGTAAGCTATACCGCCAATCTGGGACCAGAGATCTGTGAACGCGGACCTCCGCTGGGGCGCTTGGATCTCATGAGCGGAGCCGAACGGATCGTCGTGTCGTATGCAAGGTCGGAAGCGTGTGTCTCAAACTGTTGCGTGCGGCGATTCGGAGCGGCGTCCGGACTGTCGGATCGGACGTCGGATCGGACGAATCTGCCGTCCATGTGTCTCGCGCTTTAGTGTGGCGAAGCCTCAGTAGATTGTTTCCTTCCGTCACGTGTTTTCGATTTCTTGGATGGGGAGGATTCGCGGAAGAACGTTTTGATTTCTTGTCTGTCTCGAATCGCATTTAAAGTGACGACTACTTGGTAACTGATAAGGGGTTTCTTTATAAGGATGTAGAACAGTGGGAGGACGACGGACGAGGCATTTCACTGGAGGGAACACCAATGCTGCAGTCAAGTGAATGGGAAAGTTCGATAACTGCACTTTAAGAAAAAAGGGAGGAGAAAGGTAGCAAAAGCGACTGTTCATCCTTGTTGCGGACAAGTTGCCCAGAGAAGGGAGGAACGGCAGTTCAGATGAAAGGAGGAGGGCGAGTTCCTCCTTGTTCAGTTGTCGCAGGGGTAGAACATCGCGCTACTGACCAAGTGGTCAACGGTTCGATCCCCAGAAAAGTGGGTTCTTTTTTTTTTTTTTTTTTTTTTTTTTTGTGAAGATTTTTTTTGTTTTTTTTTTGTTTACCAAAACACATACAAACAAACCCAGACCGATGAAAGGAAAATTAAAGTCCTTATTATTCTCCGAGACGTTTTCCTCCTCCAGGCAGACCGGAGAAAGCTTTCGCCCTCCCGACCCATCTTCTTTCGGTTTCGTTTTTCGAGCACATCGCGCACGTTGTTTAATAAATTAATGTTGAGTTGATTGAGTTTCAGCGGCAGCGAAGGCCGCCTGTAATTCCGTCTTCTAGTCCAAACGTGCAGAACATTTCGGTTGCATTGACGTTTTTACCACTAATTTTATCAAACGAGCTAACGAAGCCGCTAGAAACAGCGAAGTTCCGGAGCAGTGCCAGCAGCGCTACATACACTGGGTAAGACGGCCGTCTCCAATTTGCGGGACACACGCGGAACTACAGCAGCGAAACCACGAGGAACTGTGTCGACGTTTTCGACGTCATGGAAATCGCGGGAACTGCGTCCAAGGAAGGCAGGTTTTCCTGCCGGCTGCCTGGGTGCCTTCCGCGCTGAGTTCGGTGGTTCGGTTCCGTTGTCCCGTGCCGAGTGCCAACCGGCGTTCAACGTGATTCTTCTGCGTGCCAGCAACATCGTTAACGTGGTTCTGTATTTCTTCGTGTCAGCGACATTGTGATGGCAGTGTTGTGGGTTGTGAACAGAAGACTGTAATTATCGCCGATGTGACCGTGTGTTCGCGTATCAGTGGTGTAACAACAAGATGAGATGACGTAAACTGTCGGGCATTGATGCCGCTGGTCGGGCCGTTATCGGAGGGGCCGGGGTGTCGCAGGATGACATTCCGCTTTACATTAAAGAGTTTAAAACCACTTGAGGGATTAGGTGCAGTCGATCGACGTGTGGATAGTCATGTTGGAACGCTGGTCTGAACGGTAAGCTCCTATCGTACAGTATGACGGAAAGTACGTATATTTATAATGGAAGTTTAGCATAAAAAAAAAAGACAGGCAAAATCGAAAAAAAACCCAAAAAACTCTATCCTTTAATTTACTGTTTAAATATATTACGGTTCCTGTAGAAACTGCCCTCCAAGTGGCGCGCTGGGATGAGCGCTAGAAGTTTTCGAGCTCGCAACGGCGCAGCTCCGTACACTTAACAGTTGTCGCAAGTCGCGGCTTTGACTGCATTCAAGTTGATCGAAAAGCGATTTCTGTGCCCGTGAAGCATCACTTCCAGCTGAGTGGATATCCGCTCTACAGAGGTTAATTCAAGACGGCAATTGCAGCTTTGCGCGAACAGCACAAATAGAAAAACGAACACTACAATATAAATACTGGCTACGAAGGGCCGTGCGGGAAAACAAACTCATGGCTTGGAACCACATTGGAGCGGCTCGATTCATTGGCTTTCAAATAATTATGGCATGATCGAGCGTCTTCTTTTTAATAAGAGATTCATCCCCTGAGCCATTAAAAATAGCCTCAGATGTATGACATTGCTGGAAAAAAATGAACATGTTCGGAATATTTTTTTTTTGCTTAGGGAGTCACCGAAAAATTCCGTACGTTCAAAACGACCACTATAAAAGACGGAAACGCAGGGCTCGGTAGCAGAGATCGGGGTAGTGTGCTGTTGTATTGGTGATTGTATGTGCGATGCCTGTGTATGCGTTCAATATATGTTGACCTGATGTTTGTAGTGTGCGCAACGTGTCTACATGTGTTAGAGATTCCAAAGAAAAGGAAACGCAATTGTGGCGTAAGGAAATAAAAATATTTTTTTTAAAACATGAATTGGGCGGTACCTAGCGCCACCTAGCCTAGCTACGTGCGATTACTCTGCTTGACCCTGCCATCTGGTGGCAAGCGATTTAACATCCTTTTACGCTACGCGGCTACGCCATAATTTCGTGTTACCGTGCTGAGAAAAGCCAAGAGGTTGCTTCGGATGCTTCGGATTTGCTTTTTTTTTTTTGAGAGCGGCTTTTGGTTTTGCGGGCGAATGATTTTCACTCCTCCGTGATGTGCGGTTGACGCAACGGTTGACGAAGGAATTGTGGCTCGAGGAATAGCAAAGGTAGGACATAAAGTGCGCGAACTGAGTGCCGGTTGTCTCCGTTGAACATCGCAGTGCTGACGATGAGAAGACTGAGTGACTGCATGCTTTCGAAACGTAAGCTTCTTTACCTGCAGGGGTAAAGAAACTTCGGAAATAAATACAGTTCGCGGAAAGCTCGTGTTACGTTTTTATTTCCTGCTCCTCTCGCTTCGTGCAATAGACTTAGTGTTCTCGTTAAGCCTTACCGAGCTCGATTTGCTCGATTCGTGGCCGCCATAATGAGATGCAGTCGACGGAGGAACTTTTCCTCCCCTGCTTAAGGGACGAAAGTTTCTCCCTTTCTGAAGGAACATATGTGTCAAGAGCGTTCCTCCCTTTAGGGAGGACTATACTGACCCTTTTTTCTAAGAGTGTGCTTTTCTTGAGTTTGGTTGTGTTCGATTAGCTTCAAGTTTGAGCCACCCACGCCGGTCGGTGCGTTGGCTATTCATCTTGGCTGCTTTTCGCCGAACAATCCTCTGGACCACTCTGAAGGAGTTGGGCTGATTTCGGAATTATTTGATTCAGGAAAACCTGCTCGCTGCAAATGATGAATGAGGGAAATTATAAGTTTTCAAAAGGTGGGGCACGCGTCTCGCAACGTTAGAAGCTGTCACGGCATTATGATCTATCGCGCCTCCAATATTTATATTATACCCCCGTCGAATTAAGCCAGCAGCAATATACGTCTACATTGCTCAGGCTGACCGGCCACAAAAATACTCATTTTTTCCGTTCCGGATTCGAAGTCAAGTTCAATGAAGAGAGGTTCTCTGTGAATCTCCAATGAAGACTCTCTTCAGTTTGTCCGCATTCGTCTCCGTGCTACCGGCTAGAACCATTTGGCTAAGTTTAACTTAGTATCTCTCTGTCTGTCAGATATACTTTTATTCAGCAGTTCACCTAATAGCTAGTTAACTAAGCTCATATTTCAAACCGAAGAATATACTAATATCGCTTTGGTGGGACCATAGTACGCAATATAATACATAACCCGCTCGTCAAAATGACTTCTCGAATGCTACTAAAACCTGAATTGAAATACGAGTATCAGCTGCTTAGTGGGGGTGCCGGCGGGTTAACATGCTCCTTGGCTCAAAAAGCGCTTGCTTAATTTTCGTAATTTTCCTGCAGCCTGTGTTGTTGACCGAGCAGACAACTGAAGCTGTTTCTTAAACGCGGACACGCACAAAAG